ATATAGTAACTTATTCCAGGGTTAAGCAATGGGATGAACCTGTTACAATGGAATGGGAGCCAAGTTGCCTGTCCGATCTTCATTTTTATTGTGTTTCTTACATATTATTTTTTATATATAAAAAAGCATGGGAAGCTGGCATGCAGAAAGGCCTATTTGTGACTACTCAAGCCCCTGAGATTGCTCCAACACTTGGCATTAAACCAGGCAGTTTTTGGTTGACACCATTTTTTGCTTTCTGTTTTGTTTTCTTCTTTTAAGCATGAAAGTGGTCCTGAAAGCCCTTTGAGAGTCCCGCTGTTATTTTCGAGAATGCCTCTTCCCTTCCCCCATGGACTCCAGAAACATCTGTCGAAAATAAAAATAATACAAATAGGGAACCATGGCAGCACAGACAAACCATAGAGAGATTCTCTTCGGCAGAGCATTTAACTTCTTGGGAACTCCAGCTTCCCCCTTGCTCTTTTAAAGGAAGTCTTCTTTTATTTGTCAGTCGAGAAACTAAGCTTGAAATATTGTGGGCGAGACCCGGAGTTCCTCCAGAATTATGACAAGCTGCCCCTGAAAAGGCAGGCTGCTTCTGTGATGTCTTTTCTACCTCGGTGGGCTTTTGAAGGAAAGATGGAAGAAGGAGTGGGTGGACAGGGGACAGACACAAGAGGAGGAGGTTGGTGTTGGGAGCCTCCCATAAAATTCTGCTATGGAGTAGGGTCACTGCATGACAAAAGCACCTCCCAGAAAACCTCAGAATCTAGGAATGTGACGTTGTAACTTGACACATCTAGACCAGGGTGTAGGAGATGTGGCAGGGGGACTGGGGGCAGGAAAGGAGGTCTTGATATCTTAGAACAATTCCATGTTCCAGTTCTCAAGGCTCTCCCCCTATGCCCCTTTATTATTAACCACCCAGAATCGTGTGTTCAGTGGGTGGCTGTATAAAGCTAACTAACTAACTAAATACAATCTAGATCTGCCATTCAGAGTTTGGGGTGTTCTAATCTAGTAAACACTCAGAATATACACAGATGCTATAGGCTTAACACATTTGGAGGACACCAGCTCATGGAAATGCTGGGTTTTTTGGGGGGGGGGGGATTTGTTCATTTTTAATGTTTGAAAAGGGAGCTACAATTTTAAGTGGCATCCCCCCCCCATACACACACACACAAAAGCTCCTTAAAATCATTTCTTTTAAAGTGCCCATTTTGGCCCATGCTAAGATCTTCCAACAGCTAAAATCACAAGGAATTTGGCATAGGTCCTAAAATTGCTATCTGCTTCTTTCGTGAAACAGGAAACACAAATTTTTAGCAATATGCATCAGAATAGTAGATTAGCCACCTCCCTCCAGGCTGACTGGTCCTGAAAAGCAGCATCAGTCTCCTTTGCTTTTGGGATGAGGCAAGAACTAAAATCCTCATCCTACTTTTTTTCCCCACAAATGTATCAGTCTTCTGCATTTCCAAACTTGGGCTCGGACAGAGCATCAAGAGAGCCTATAACCTCAGAAGGAAAGAATGTGAAATGGCCTGTTAACTCAGCTCCAGTCCAGGGTAGAATTAAATCAATCACCTCTCAGCATCTGCCCTCTCACAAAAAGTGAGGATGCAAAACAAAGAGACTTTCTCAAGCAGTGGATCAGAATGTAACCAAGGGTGTCTTACCTTCTTCTCTGTGGTTTTCATGTCTCTCTCAATCCAAGTGGGCTCCCGTTTTGCCTGCAGAATGAACAGGATTTAGCATCTGAGCAGCCGAAACAGCAACAGGTAGCCAGACAAATTTCCCCCAAAATGTTAACCCTCTGAACTTCATTCCCAAATCACCAAAGAGAAATATGGTGTAGGTGAATTCTTGTGGTCTTCAGAATTGGCTACGTGGTGCAGGAGGCAGGATCTGTTCCATCTTAAGCTTCCATCTTGAACATGATGTTTCTGGTTTGTATTGATGCAATCAAAAGAAGGGAAGGAAAGCAAATTGCTCTCCCATGTTTTCTTCCTTGCCAGAAATGCAGTTTGAATCTTAGAACCAGAAGCTAATGAGCAAAACAGGAATCTGGGGGCCAAGGTATCCACAGAGTGGGATAAAACAATAAAGATGGCAGGAACAACTTTGCAACTGAAGCTCTGCCTGGTTTTTATGTGGGTCATCCAACTTTGATTGCACTGTTGCAGTTGCCATCTTGACTTTTTTGACCATACACTACAGACATTCCTGCTGGGGGCACCAGAAGCGACAGCACTGGGAATAGGAGGTTAGCTAGATACAGCTCTTTCATCTGGCCACAATTCCCATGTAGCCACTTCACTATTTGTGAAGCCACCAAAGTTTGCTTTTGTTTTGAGAAACCCTGCACACAAAAATGGAAGTAAATGTCCTCTCCCCAGACCTGAAACAAGTATTTGCCATCCTTAGGAAAAAAGAAATTTCTTTTCTTCCAAATGTTCCAATTAGCATGTTTGCAGTTTACAACACAGGGAACAGAGAACTCAGTTTTGTTTGTTTGAAACGTCTAGTCCTTCCAGAGGCAGAAACATGAAAGTGACTCTCTTTCCACATTACCTTCTAAAATGGGAGGGGGGGGGATATTTTTGCCAATTGCTTCAGGCTGCAAAGCATCCTAGGCCATTCCTAGTATCATCATTGTTATTATCAAAACTTAAGGTCAGAGCAAGAGGACTCCATACATATATGGTGTAGAACGCTCTGCATGGAGGCAAACAGATTGTGAAAAGTGCCCACATCTCTTTAGATGCTGGAAAGATGCAAAATCAGTGCACGCTGAGTTTCCTTATGCAAAGGATAGTACTATCCTCTCCCACCCCCCTCACCCCAGCAATTTGGAGAGGGGGCACCAGGTAACAGGAATGGAAAGTAGCAGAAATTTATTCTATGAATTGTTAACTAATGTTTCAATAGAAGAGAAGAAGACTAGCAGAGCGCATCCACGAACATTAACTAGCAGTCAGGAGACACGATGGAAACTCCTTAATGTCACAACGCATGGACAGACTCCACCATAGTTTCAACTAGGAAACTGTGAACATCCTAGACCAAGCTAAATCCAAAAACGCTAAGGAATTCCTGGAAGCTTGGCATTCAGACAAATCAGCCATCAATAGACACATAGAGATTTATATACCATTCAAAAGAGAAAATAAAAAAGCTAAGAAGGAAACCAAAAGACCAGAACACGTCCTCTCCAGCAGCCAACACCCAGATAAGCAAGGATTAACACCAGACCAACAATCAAGCAGAAAACAATACCCTAATCAAGCAATTATCAAGGAGAAAAGCACACCTGACCCACACTGGCAGAGCAAGCTACTGTAGATAAACAGAGAGCAAACCCATACTCACTAGCACTGATTATATTACCTAGTCAGGTAATGAAACATCTCCAAGCAAACAACCAAACTCAGAGAGCACCAAGGACTCCATAACTAATGTTTTGCCCTGTTAATGGGGGCAGAAAGCCGGCTCTTCTGATGAAGCAGAAGTAGATAAAAATCACTTCCACTGCCCCCACCTAGTCAAATTTACCACTATTCTACCTATTTTTAAGCCTCTGAAGCATCTCTTTAACACTCTGGATGTCTATGAAAAATTTCCCCAAATGGAAAATACTAGTTGCTTTGTACTATTTATGGGTGGGTGGGAAGATGGCAAAGTGGAGGTGAAGAACTACAGCTGCTTACAGCCACACTTGTGAACTGTTTATGAAATATCTGTTTTCTCTAACTTGGGGCGGTTAAATTGGCTGGGAATTACGGGAACTGCATTCCTACCACCCCTGAACACACCAAGTTAAAGAAGACAGTATGAAGAGCGTCTGGAAGAACTAATAAGAGGGAAGAGCAGAAACCCTAACCACTGGCAATAAACTGATAATGGTTTCTATCCTCCCAGTTATGTATAAAGACTCAGACCACCATCTTCAAAACACAAAAAAGATCAGAATTCTCACTGTCCCAGTCCCAAATTCTACATATTCTTCTAAACTGTTCTTCCTTATGGATTGTTTGTTTTAATATTCCCAATCTAGTATGTTCCAGAATTCCCAGCCATTCTGTCTATAGTTGTAAAAAAAAAAAAAAGCTGAATAATTTATTGATTACAAATTTCTTTGTTCCACTACAGCAGAGCTGTTTAACCAGCCATCTATGAACTTGGGTGGGAAAAAACATCACCTTTATTATACTAACCTCTAACTGAAATTTAGCTTGTCTTGTTACTGATTTAATGGATTGATAAAGAAGCACACGTATTACTACATTACTTTTTTTTTTACTGTTTTGATAATTGTATTTGAGCATAATTGGTTTCCTTTGTAATACAATCTATAGCTATGTATTTTAGTTTACGTTTTTCAATACATCCTGAAAAGGGGTCTGTAGGTTTCTCCAGACTCTCAAAGGGGTTCAGACCATAAAAAGGATAAAATGAAAATGAAAGGGGCCTTTTCCTACAGGACATTTTGGAGTTAACTTGCTTTTATTTGTACTAATGCTAGAAGACCTGCAACAGATTTTTCCCTCTCTTTTAAAAGTATCTTTTCTCCTCAACTTCTGGAGCAAAAAAGAGGTTTTTATCTGCAAGACTTCTCTTCTCAGAAGGTCTGATGTAACAGGAATCTCAAGTCTATCTTTAAAACAAAACAAATGACAGGACAAGACCTGTTTTTAAAGCAATGGGTATTAGAAGTTTATCGTGCTTCTTTTAAAACAATCCCTCTTCTAAGAGAAGCAATTAACCATGCTCAGACAGTAAGTATTCTTTGAGCTGAGTTTTAGAAGCAAAAC